GCCTCTCACTAGCGCTATATAAGCTGCCGGATTCCCTTTCACTTAAATCCATTCCAACAATCTATTCGTCGTAAGCCCTTCTAGCAGCAATCCAAACGTCCCTCCATCTGCATCTCCCTAACTCTGCACGTGGATCTCTTCTACTAGTGATTCAATTGGGGACAATCCTGCCGCATCCACTTCCTTCTATCAATTAGTGGAATCCCCAAAAGAGGAAGAAGTTCTTTGCGCTAAATACCTTGTTTGCAAGCCGTGGTCCCACAACGGACCGAAATGGCCATCAGAAAGCAGATTCATTTTATGATAGAAAAAGAATCTGCTTTCTTCTGGCACATGTATTTCTAAAAGGACTCCATCTTTCCAAAAGATTGTTTGCACCATGCATCGAATTAAACCACTCCTTTCACCGCGGATAAAGACTTGGTGGGTAGGGATGTGACGCTAAGGTAGGGTTCGGTCTAGATGAAACTATCTTTAACACGAGCTTCTTCCTTGTGCGAAGTACCAACTTATTGGAATTCAGCATTGCATATTCACTACCGAGATCTCTTATAAGTTTTGGGACCAGAATGAATTCTTCCTACAGACATTGTAAAGGGTGCGGTTTAGCAACCAAGCGTACAATGACCAAAACCAACAGCTCCATCATTTCTGAGAACTTCTCTCCCGCATAGAGGAGATCTTGGCACTACTTCATGTGTTCAATCTAGGGAGCCGCCCTCTTCTTCATATCTTGGTTGATATTGGTTTCATAATGAAAAGAGGAAGGAGTGTCGAAGCGATGTTGCTTCTCTACTCTCAGCTCTTTGCTCGAGATGATGTGATCTGATTGACCAGTCTAGAATCTGTAACCAATTGGCTAAGTCGCTAAGTCATTGTGGACATTTGCCATCCTCTCATATCGAAAGACGAACGACGACTTCCGGGGTAAAACGGAGGGCTAAAACCCGAGCCTCTTTTTCCATCCCAGGGGGTAGCGATTTCAAGAGTACTTGGTTTAAAACTTCCAGTTTATTCAACTAGTTTCACTCGATGAAAAATGCATGCAAAATGCATTCTATTGTTGTCTCTGTCAGGCCTTACACCTCTGTCCCAAGTTGTTCGTGTTAAGGTGGCCGATGGCGCGGAGTTAACTTCCTTGTTTCTTCTGCTTGATTTGATCTTTGCAAGTATCTACTGATACCCCTCCATCACATCAGCCAAGCCCCACATTCCAGAGTGCAATGAATGCATGTAACATCCCAAATTTTCAATTTGGAATGTTATACAATAGATCATCATTGCATCTCATATTTCTATTGCATTTTGCCTCGATCCTAGAAATTCTACGCAACTCAAGGACCCACGGAGAGAGTTGGGGATTTCGTAAATTTCATATCTAAGTTTTCTCAAATTTGGAAAATAGGATCATTTGATTTTATTTATTTTATCTTCAATTATTTCAAATTATAAATTATGAGAGAGGGAATAAAATGACTTTCCCAAAATAAAGAAAATATTGAGGATTTAATAAAAAAATCAAATAAGTTTTATTTTGGTGTTTTTGCTATTTTATTTGAATTTAGGAAAACAATCGACATGTTAAGATCCAAATTCGAATTGGTTCCTGGTCCTGGTCAGTGTTCGCGCCGGCGGTCCAACAAAGAGCCGAAGTAGTGGTGTCTTTCTTTCCATTACGAACGACACGCTTCGCCTGCTCCCTCCCCGTGTCCATTAGCGCTCCTGTCCAAAGTGAAGAGAAGGCGAAAAAGCGCCACCGAAGCTGCATGAGCAGGCTTCTATTGCTACGCAACAATGGAGCAGGCGCGCCGCCCACAAAATGTTTGAATGATCGGGTAAAGAGCGAGCTTCTTATATGGGTTCCGACGCATCCAGCAGAGCGAAGTAGCGTTCCATTCTTTTCGGCGGCATCCTTCTGCATTGGAGGGGAGTGAGTGCCACAATCCCATTCATCATTTTTGATCTACATAACCCAAAGCCCATAGCACTGGCGACATCTCCGGCATAAATGCAAGGAGGATGTATAGCTGATATAGGATCTTGTGGAACTGGATTTGATTCTGCAAGCGGTTTGGTACGAACAAAAAAATTCAAACAAAAGGATCGGAACTCGCTGATAGGAAAGGAGAGAAAAACAAAGCAATGCCAAGAGCTCTGTCAATCTGCTGTTCATCGATAGATGAAGCTCTCTCTTTTTCATCTCGTGCCAGATGTAACAAAAGATTAGTCCTTTTTCCTTCTCGCAAAGCACAGGAGCGCCCAGCACCCAGAAGAGCAAAGCTCACTTTCAAAACAGGGTCAAGCGGCACATTAAAAAGGGCTGGCCTGTTAAAAGGACGCTTACTTTGCGAACTAAGTTCAGAATCAACAAGGGTTCTCCAAATGAAGGGAGTGTACAACTAGGGCGCAGCCCAACTTTTTTGTTGGAGAGATAGAATGGAGTTCTTCACGAAGTTCGAGACAAAGGAAAAAATCAAAGTTTCTCTACAACCTCTTCGTTTTGAGACATTATGGCTTTGGGGTCGACCCTGGTAACAAAAAAGGAATCCATAAAAACTTGGGATCCAACAGCATGATAAAATACTACCCTCATGATTAGACCATGTCCCTGAGATTTGATAAAAAAAGGTGCATTAGAGATTAATATGTTGTAATTAGAAAAGTTATTTGGAATATGACGGAACGAAAGACCAAGGAAAGGAAGAAGAATGCACCAAAATGCAAGTGCTGCACCAAACGCTGGTGGTTGTTTCTTGTTGTATGTGAATGCAACGAAAAGACCGGAAATAATGAATAATGACAAAATTCATTTATAGACATTTCGTGCTCATTTCCGAATTTATGCTTAGTTATTCCCATCATCCGGTAACCACAGGATGATCCCATTCTCCGTTTAGTAATAGATCTTTTTGATATGTCTCAGTCTCAGCGGAAGGAAGAGAAATGCATCGAGTCGTTTATCAAGAAAGTGGACGAGCATGGCGGTCCCTATATCTCTGAGGGGTGTACCACTTGTTTTTCGGGCCATCTTAAGAGGTTCAAAAGAGAAAGTCACTCTCCTTATTCTTGGCTAGTGGAATGGAAGCAAGACTCTTTCCTATCCACTTTGTCGAGGCGAGAGAACTAAAAGATAACTCAAGCTAGACAGAAAGGTGCAAAAGTCCACAGTTTCTTAAGGATCCTGTAAGCAAGTAGGTTAAGATTTTAATTTAGCTTCAATTTCTTCAGTCTGACAAGCAGGTCCGCATGCAAAAAAAGAAACTATATTTTCCTACTACTCCGACCTTGCCCTGAGAGGATAAGGAAATTGGGTAAGAGCGAGAGCTAGACTGATTATTGGTCCAATGCTAGTGGAGGATTCAGACTGAGGACCCCCTGTGGCGGCTACTCATAAGAAGATGAAGGATTGAAAGAGGACTGATCACCCCTCTGATTTGTGATCTTTTAATAGAAAGAAAACGACTTCTCTCAGACTTAAAGGTAAATGAAAGCGGGATTTTTTATCTCCTCTAAGCTAGCAACAAGTCAAGTAATCTGAGAATGCTGCCCCCAATCCGTAGCTGAGGACGGACTCAACTCATAAGCTTTTTTTGAACCAAGTACCTGTTGTAGAAATGAAAAACCACCCACTAGCAGAGGTTGGAACAACCCATAGAAGTGTAGCGGCTGCTTCAACCAGGCGTACCCGTATCCATTCATTTACCTCCTCTAGAGTGTATTGAACTTTGTGACAAATAGGTTATAGTTACACTCCTTAACTCCCTATTCGTGAGATATAAAAGCTAGCTAGTAAGAAGACTTTCCCTTGTTTTCTGGGAGGGTGAGAACTTGAAAGACTGGCACAGAAAAGGAAGAAAAGCGGCTAATGCTATCTAAACAATTATTTCAAAGTTTACCAAGTTCGATCGTTCACGAGACAGGGGACTCTTTTAAATAAGACAGTGTATGGCTGTGAATAAGTCTATTCGGCAACTCATAGGGAAGGACTGGATATAAGCTATCCCCCGGTTCTTCATTGGATCCTTTTAGTGTAATATTACTTTTTGGAAGCAATTTCATAATAATATGTATTAGGGATAGCATTTAGGATAGCTAAAGCATTTTTGGAGCAAGAGGGATTACCTTCCAGATTCTTTTGTAATACCCTCTGTGTCGCCTTCTCCTAGATGGTCAGCCCAGTGTCAAGAATCCTTGAGCTCTTCCTCATGGCTTTGACTGGTGACTTACATTTCATCTTTTTTGCAGCTCTCTTGGTCCTTGGATATGATGTCTTCTGCCACTCTCCTTGGTGGCTATTCTCCACCATCTCAGTCCCCTCTGAGGTCAGCTGAATCTGATCAGTGGCTGTCTCTGCCTAATCCACCAAGTGTGTACAAGACAAGATCGTTGTCTGTCACAGGTTCTCCTGCTGCTGCAAGTTTATCAGACTAGAATTTGATCCTGCGCAGATTATCTTGAGCAGTCTGGGATCCTTTCTTGATCATTTGGATCTGAATACGCATCTCAATTATTTGAGCATTTGTCATACAGCCAAGACTTCCAGATTTTTTCCAGGTTTTCTCCCTTTTCTACGAAGGTTTGCAGCTCCGCCTGCACCAGTGAATTATTCTATTCTTCTCCTTTGGTTCAGTCTGTGGGGAAATCAGAATTCACCATTGAATCATATGGATCAGCTCCCTTACATAATAATATTTCACTGTCTCAGCTACAAGGGGAAAATCTAAAAGACAGAGGATAGAGAATGAGAGAAAGAGTGTGAGACTTGCGCTGCTCTCCATTTCGAGGGGATTTCGATGATTCTAGGGTGATTGAACTATTTCTTTACCTGTTCAATTTCTAACGAATCAAGATATCCTCTTGTTCCGGTATAAATAGAGCTATCTGCTCTTGCACTGGGAGAGGATTTGCCTAGGATTATTTAAGCAATTCCCTTAATCGTCAACCCCTTGACAATTGATTATGACTTATTTTATCAAGAGCATAGGTGAATGATAGACTTGTCACTCTGTGAATTGAGCTGGTTCCAATTTGGATTTGCCAGCTACTTGTTTCATGGCATTAATTTGAGCCGCGGATCCTACTCTGGAAACAGAAATACCCACATTAATAGCGGGTCGAATTCTGGCATGGAATAGATCCGCATATAAGAATATTTGTCCATCTGTAATGGAGATTACATTAGTAGGAATATAGGCGGAAACGTCTCTAGATTGAGTCTCAACTATTGGTAAAGCGGTCATACTTCCTTCGCCTAAAAGAGAATTTAATTTCGCGGCTCTTTCTAGAAGGCGTGAATGCAAATAAAAAACATCCCCTGGATAAGCCTCATGGCCGGGAGGTCTTCTTAATAGAAGGGACATTTGGCGATAAGCTTGTGCCTGTTTGGAGAGGTCATCATAAATTATTAAAGTATGCCATTTGTGGTACATAAAATACTCAGCCAGGGCTGCTCCCGTATAAGGAGCGAGGTATTGTAATGTAGCAGGTGAATCCGCCATTTCAGCTACTACAGTAGTGAAGTCCATGGCCCCCTCCTCATGGAAAGTAGTTACTACTTGAGCTACGGAGGATGCTCTTTGACTGATAGCTACATAAACACATATTACACCTTGCCCTTTTTTCTTGAGAATTGTATCTGTGGATACTGCTGTTTTGCCAGTCTGTCTGTTCATCGAATCGATAGCAATAAGCCCTATTTGAAGAGGTTCATATACGGAATGCCTGGAAATTCTACTTGGCGCAGGAGATTCAATTAAGCGAGATTCGGAAGCTACAATTTCGCCTCTCCCATCAATATGTTTAGCCAGAGCATTTATAAAATGACCCAAGTTATATATGCTCACGGGTATCTGAGCAATTCTTCTTGTTGCTTTTACAAACTTCCCTCTTGATGCTAAACCATAGCTCTAACTGAGTAAAATTCCACAATTTCCAAGAACAATATGCTTTTTTCATTTTCCATTGTGAAAGCTTCTCTCAATCCCTCCCAAGTCCTTTCTTTCCTAGGCACAGGCTTACCTGGTTGACTGCCCACATTCATTCATTGTTCGTTCTGTTGTGGAATCGAACCACAGAGCTAGCACAATTGGGATTTAGAGTCCCATGCATGAAACTAAAGAGGATTTTCAGTCATCTGCTCTACCAGCCAGAACCTAGAAGGACACCTCACACCCGATTTGACACAGCTAGACTGGAAACAATGCTTGTCAAGAGCACAGACCCCAGTATAGAATACTTTTTTGAGTACGTTAGTAAGGTCCGGTCATCTGCTTCTATGCTTGCACTTCTGCGTAACGAGGGGTGCAAGTCCAGTACAGCGTACTTCCATAATTGAATCAAAAGCGACGATACATGAAAAATCTCTATATATGATATTTATGACACAGACTGTTATTCTTTCAACATGATTCCTCAATAATTTTGTCATTGTAACTGACTCTCCATTCTCTCCGTTCCACTTTAGTTTTTGACTAATAATTACCATGATGAATTTCTCTTACTACTTGGTTCCGCATTGGATTTTGGAAACTTTTGTTTAGAAAGTGGTGTCACGACCGTGGGAATCAAATGGATGGTTCATGAAGTCTAGTGAAGTGGCATGGTATAATCATATGGATGAACATAGTGGTCTGGTTCCATAGAAAACTACTGGAGCCATTACCACCACCAAAATGGTTTCCATGCTCCGTTGGATGATTTGACGATATCGCAGTATCAAGCTAGAACGGTTTCAATTTGTAGGACAGGAAAGAAACCTCATCCTTTGGTGCACACTAACCGATGAAGCTCAACCCTCTCTCGAACTGAGCTATTTCCGCTTTTTCGAACAAAAAGTTCGAGTAGTTCAGTGAAAAAACGGCCAAGCTTTCTTCCATCCTTCATAGCTCCTCGAGCTTGCACCTGCTCGACGCATTTTTCATTGTTTGTTCTTAGGTGGATTTGAACCACTCTCTCCGTTTGGATTTCGAGTCCGAAAGGCCCGGCGAAAGAGGATTTTCAGTCCTATGCCCGCTGCCAGGCAGAACGGGATTTTTCCACTTCACTCCCACACAATCGGGATTTGATGAAATAGCTACGTATGTTTCTTATTTGATTCGGATACTGTCAATCTACTATCCATCTTTCTCTTTAGTTTTCTCCTTTCTTTCTCCACAACCTATCTCCATTGGATGGACTTACGAAAGAATAATATCTAATCTCCCCATCGCGTTAGGATCCCATGAACCAGGAGCACTAGCACCGGTTCCTCGATCTTCCTATTGGAGGCATGGTCATGGCTTTCATTCATTCATTTCATTCTTTGTTCTGTTGTGGAATCGAACCACTCAAAGGATTTAGTGTCCTTTTACCAACCAGTCAGAACCAATATTTCTCTATTATGTTCTGTTTTTTCTTTGTCAGCTAGCACAATTTGAATTTCGAGTCCAATGCGCTAACGGTTTCTTTAGTTTTCTTGCTCTTTCTCCGGGCTCTGACCATGTCTCCTGAACAATTTTAGTACATATGGTGCAAGACGATTCCACATATATATCAAGGTCAGAATGGGATCGGGTGTTTTCACGTCTCATCGTAGTGCCCGGTTTGTCTTGATTGGCGATTGACAAACAAGAAGGAAAATGGAAAAGTAGAAAATCTACATGTTTATACCGTTGAGGTCCTTAGTTTTGTCAAGTAGGCGAGGGCATTTCCATCGTGAAGGATTCAATCCAGCCATAGGTTCCCCTACGGCTACCTTGTTACGACTTCACCCCAGTCGAAGACCCCACCGTGGTATGCGCCAATAAGACCACCAAAGGCCTTTATGGCACTAGTGGTACACAAAAGTGACGGGTGATCATTGGTCCGATGCTTCGGGCGAAACCAACTCCCAGGGTGTGACGGGCGGTGTGTACAGGGCCTGGGTACATATTCACAGCGGCGTGATGATCCGCGATTACTAGCGATTTCAACTTCATGTTCCCGAGTTGCAGAGAACAATCCGAACTGAGGCAATCTTTCCGGATTCGCTCTGCCTTACAGCCTTGCTTCCCATTGTCATTGCTATTGTAGCACGTGTGTGGCCCAGCCCATAAGGGCCATGCGGACTTGACGTCATCCCCACCTTCCTCCAGTATCTCACTCGCAGTCCCTCGTGAGTGCGGCACGCACCTTTTTCTTTGTTTTGGAGCGGGGCGCGTACTATTACCACTACGTTCCACACAATTTTATGGCCTTCATGCCGAGTCTTCCTCTGCCACCAACTCGACATCGTCATAACCAATTTCAACCAAACCTCCATGCTCACTGGTACTTTGACGTCACTATAGGTAGGTCTCTATGGGTCTTGGGCAAGACGACTTCGGTTCAAACGTGAAAGTGCTTCGAAAGGCACCGGCTCCCAATGGTGAAATTCTTGCTGAAAGCACAGCTACGTGGTGGCACTCAATCAAGTAGTAGCGCTGGCACGTCACTCGGTGGCAATTTCTCCTTAGGCGCATGTCTCAGCAACACAAAACGAGGGTTTTGCTTGTTATAGGACTTGACCAAACATCTCACGACACGAGCTGACGACAGCCATGCAGCACCTGTATGAAAGTCAGTACCATCCTGTTAAGGACAGGTTTTGTTGTTCATATGTCAAGGGCTGGTAAGGTTTTGCGTGTTGTATCGAATTAAACCACATGCTCCACCGCTTGTGTAGGCCCCCGTCAATTCATTTGAGTTTCGGTCTTGCGACCGTACTTCCCAGGCGGAGTGTTTCACGTGTTAGCTGGGCCCCTGATCTACGTAGACCAAGGCCGAACGCTCATCGTTTACGGCATGGACTACCAGGGTATCTAATCATGTTCGCTGCCCATGCTTTCGCTCCCCAGCGTCGGTAGGGACCTAGAGAGCTACCTTCGCTTTTGGCGTTCCTTCGTAGATCTACGGATTTCACCCCTACACACAAAATTCCACTCTCCTCTATCTCACTCAAGTGAATTGGTTTCGAGAGCATTCCACCACTTTTTGGCGACTTTCACTTTCAACCCGATTCACCGCCTACGTGCCCTTTACGCC